CCCCCGGCAGAAAGGGCTCGGACAGGCCACTCACTGACACAGCTGAAGGCAGTCTCTCCCTCTAGAGGCCATTTATGAAGAGTCTCTGAAACCTCCAAGGAAGTTGGCTGTCCAGGGCACAGAGCCAGTCAGGGTCCCTGTGAATCGCAGGACAAGGTTAAGAATGGCACGGCTGACCATCCGAGTCCTGCTGCCCCAAGCCACTTGCCCACTCATTGGGACAAAAGCAAGATCTGTGGCTGATGTGCCTGCTTAGAGGCTGCCTTTTCAGGAGACTTTGCTCTTGGAGAACCACTTCGAGAGAGGCGTGATGAGGCCCAAAGGATGCTGCTATCACTGCCGAATCCCAGGCATGTGCTGTGTGGGCAGGGTGGTGTTTCAGGGCCAAGTTGTAGTCAACGGTCTCCCCCAGGTCCCCAAGGGGCCAATTCTGTGTCAAGCTATGTCAGGCACAGGCTGATCAAAGTAGGGGGGCAAGGCTGTTTTGGGCATCTTGGTTGCCAGACACGTGGAAAACGTGACCGACCACCAGCTATGAAAGTGATGCCCTGTGGCTCACCCAGCCGGGGAGGTGCTGCCTTCAGTTGCGAGAGGATATAGCAGCTATTTTAAAATGAGGCAGAGCGGAACAACCTGTCTCCAAGATACACAAGCGTCATTAAGGGGCTGAAGCAGGATGCTGCACGGAGTGGAGCGCATGCCTCTGGTGCTGGGCATTGTCTGAGGTGTGCGGCCTGCTGCAGTAGCCACTGACCCAACAATGTGGCTATCTCAGTATCACCGGAACTTAATGCAAGTTAAATGCAGAGGAAAGTCAGGCCTTCCATCACACTCACCATGTTTCAAGTACTCCATTGCACATGTAGCCAATGGCTGCCCTGCTGGAAGGCACCGAAACCTGCCTTCCTTGCGGCCATTCTGTTGGCAGTGCTGGTCTGGAGCACTCTGGAAGGACACAGGACACCTACAGGGAGGGCAAGTGGGGGGTGGTAGTACCCTGCACCCTTCTGACCTTTTGGATTTTGTATCATGTGTTTGCATTATGGTGGTGGTTGTTGTTTCCCAACACAGGGTCTTGCCCTGTTGCCCAGGCTAGAGTGAGGGGGTATGATCATAACTCACCGCAGCCTCTAATTCCTGGCTTCAAGTGATCCTCCCACCTCAGCCTGCTGAGTAGCCAGGACTACAGGCAGACACCACCATGCCCAGCAAATTTCTAAATTTTTTTAGTAAAGACAGAGGTCTTGCTATGTTGCCCAGGCTGGTCTCAAACTCCTGGGCTCAAAAGATTCTCTTGCCTTGGCCTCCCAAAGTGCTGGGATTACAGGCATGAACCATCACACCTGACCAGACCTTAGCTATTAAAAAAATTTCTTTTTAACGAATTGGGAATGTGGAAACCCATCCAGGGTCATTGTAGTGGCATGATGGTTTCCAGGAAATCACTTTGCCATTTGCTTAAAATGAAATAAGCTAACAGCAATTATGCTTCTGCATGGAGTTGTTTTTCACAGCTTAAACTTTCCCACTCCTGCCGCCATCTCTCCACTCTTAGGAGCTCACAGGCAACAGAGTGAATTAGGAAGTAGCAGGGAACCATCAAGAAAGACAACCACTGCTGTGTACCGCTTGACACTCACCCTTTCCTGAGATACCTGTGGTCCCGGTGCCTCGACTCCTCATGGGTGGGCAGCGGTGGGGGCTCCTGTTGGTCAGGTTGCTCCCAGTGTTGGGAAAGAAATGAGTGATGAGTGTCCCCCCAAGTAGCCTAGCTCCTGCAGCATGGGACTGGGCGTCCTGCAGGAGAGGAACCTGCATCTGGGCCAGCGAAGGTGGGAATGGCGTGGGGATTGTGCACCACCAGCTATGCTTAGAAGAGGACACACAGATTGGAAGGGGGTGGGGAGGGAGTCCAGGCTGTTTTCCTCAACATAGGCCACCAGGGTAGGGATTGGTGGAAGGCCAGGGACAGCAGGAATCTCTGAACGCATGTGTGTATCAAGCACGGTGTGCAGAGCATATAAGTCCTGTGTCTCCTGCAAATATGACTCAATTAGTGAGTGAGTCCAGTGTGTATGCATGTTATCTCATTTAATGCTTACCTGGGAGGCAGGGCATGTTTTTGCCAGTTAACAGATGAGGAGGCTGGGCCGGAGGATTGGTAACTCACGCAGGTTCAAAAGGATGATATATTAGGGCTCTTTATGTTCTGTGTGAAAGAAATGCAGCCAAAACATGCTTACCCAAGAGGCTGGGTGTGCTGGCTCACAGCTGTAATCCCAGCACTTTGGGAGGCCAAGGTGGGAGGACTTCTTGAGCCCAGGAGTTTGAGACCAACCTGGGCAACACAGCGACCTCAGAAAAGCCCAGCTCGTAATATGGGGTAGAGCTGGGTTTCAGACCTAAGCAGCCCTGGCCCTAAAACCTACGGAGCCCAGCACCTCTCCAGCTAGAGTGGGAGAGCTGGGTGTGAACCTGCTTCTGCTGCCAAGTTATGTGGCCCTTGGCCCCGGTCTCTTAGCCCCTTTAAGCCTGTCTTTTGTGTCTACAGTGGGGTGAGGGCAGCCTCTGCCTTCCAGGTGGTTGCTAAGGACTCTAGGCGGATCACAGGTGCCCACCTGGCAAACAGCCGGTCTCCCTTGTTCCGTCAATGTTCACCTCTTGCCCTCATCTCCTAGGAGAGGCCTGGAGGACAGACTTGAGGTTTGGAAACAGAACATAATGGCCACAGGGATTATTTAGGGCAGAGATTCCCATACTTTGTTCTGTGTCAAGTTCATTGGTGGTGAGGGCAGGGGAACAGAGAGGTGGAGTCAAGCCCAAATTCTTGGACGCCATTCTAGGGTGACTCTTTAGAGCCCAGTGGGGCTCAGCAATTTTGAAACCATCCCCAGAGCACTCTGATGCCTGCAGTTCTCCTGCCTGGCTGTGAGTAACTGGTAGTGCTTTCTCTCTAAGCTAACTGCCCCGTGGTTTGGGTTCTGCCATGCAAATGTCCTGAGCCCTTCCCGACCAGATTCCAACAGTGTTCATGCACACTCTTTTCTTGTCCACTCAGTCTGTCTTCAGCTCTCCTCTACCCTGGCACCTTCCCCTACCCTTTCCTTTTCTTACACCCAGTTTCCCCCCCTCCCCCACCTCTGGGTGTACCCTCTTTCTGGCTCAGCCTGCATTCCCTCCCACCAGTCTTTTTACCTGCAAGACTAAGATAAAAAACCTCCTCTTCGCTGGCAGTGGTGGCTCATGCCTGTAAACCCAGCACTTTGGGAGGCTGAGGCAGGAGACTCACTTGAGCCCAGGAGTTTGAGATCAAGCTTGGGCAACATAGTGAGACCTCGTCTCGACAAAAAAAAAATCAAACAATTAGCTAGGCATGATGGGAGCTGTGCCTGTAGTCCCAGCTACTCGAGAGGCTGAGGGGGAAGGATCGCCTGAGCCTAGAAGGTCCAGGCTATGGTGAGCTGTGATGGTACCACTACACTCCAGCCTGGGCCACAGAGTGAGACCTCTACTAAAAAAAAAAGTCCTTTCCTGAAGGACACCTCTCAAGTTCTCCCCCTCTAGTCCCATGGCACTTTGCAGGTCCTTTATTGTCGTGCAAGTCACGTGGTAATGTGAGATCCTGTCATTTGGAGCCTGCCCAGTGGGCTCCGGGTTCACTCTTTAAGTGTGCACCTTTAGCTGGGCGTGGTGGTTCACATCTCTAATCCCAGCACTTTGGGAGGCCGAGGCGAGAGGATTGCCTGAGCCCACGGGTTTGGGTCCAGACTGGGCAACATGGTGAGACCTTGTCTCTACAAAAACAAAACAAAACAAAACAACAACTGGGCATGGTGGCACACACCTGTAGCTCCAGCTACTTAGAAGGCTGAAGCAGAAGGAACACCTGAGTCCAGCAGGTTGAGGCTGCGGTAGCCATAAGCGTGCCACTGCACTCCAGCCTGAGCGACAGGGTGAGACTCCAACTCAAAAAAAAGTGCCTTTGTGCCTTGCCCCTGTCCTCCATCCATCCCGGGATTCATGCCTTCCCTGGCATCCCAACAGTGTGGAGAGAGGCGAGAAAAGGCAGACCCTCCTGCAGGCTTTCCAGAAGCCGGGAGGCTGAGGAGTAAGAGAGACCAGCAGTCAGGGCTTCTGAAAACAGACAACACGACTTCGAGGGGGTTCCCTACAGCTTTGCAGACAGCGGCAGCGGCCGCGCAGAAATTCAGCCGAATAACTGAGGGACATGGAGCTCGGGATCTGGGGGCCAGGGAATTATGACAAGGGAAAAGGATTTCCCTAGGACATCCCTCGCTTTCCGTCTTATTTAAAGCGAGTTTAACACCGAGAGGCTGGTTTGCCTCCACATCCTCATTCCTGGTCTTCCTCAGCCATGGCCTGTCCGGGACACTCAGACCCACCTAGGAGAGGCTCTCCCTCCTGGAGGGAGAAATGACCGGGGAGCAGCGGTCCCTGCGACTCCTCACTGGCTGCAGGCGTGACCTGTGCCCTTTGGTTCTGAGCCCACCCGAAAGGGACGTGCCACTGCCACGACGGGGCGAAAACACGCAGCTGCGCGGCTAGAGCACGAGGACAGCGAGCGACAGGGCGCTGCCCCGGGAGACCTCCGTGCGCTCCCTCGGCCGAAGAGAGCTCGACAGAGCGGTGGCTTTCCTGGAAGCGCCCCGCAGAGACTCCCGTGGGGGACCGGGCTCTGCGCCGCTGCCGCCGGGGAGGAAAGGCAGGGCAGGCGCCGTGGGTCCCGCTCGCAGGCGGGAAGCATTGCGCTAAGGGAGGCCAAACGACAGTCCCGACGTCGCTGGACGGTGCCGAGGCCGAGCGAGATCAGAAGCCAGACGCCAGAAGCCAGGATCCGGTCCGACGCAGACCTGCGGGGCCTCCAGATCTTGCGCCCGCCCTGGCGTCCGTCCTCCTCGGACTTCCGGGAGCGACCGCCCCGCCCCGCGGTTCTCCCGGGCCCCGCCCCGCGGCCTCCGGGCTCGCGATTGGCTCCGGAGGGGCCGGAGCGCCTGGCCGGCGTGATGACGTCAGACGCCGCCCGCGCCGCTTCCTGTTGTCAGTGCCGGGAGGCAGCCGCATCGCGCCGAGCCTGGGGTGCTGCCGAGGCAAGGAGGCCCCCCCCGCCCCGCTCCCCGCTCCCTCTGGTGAGTTAGGGGTTCGGGGGCGAGGGGGCAGCGGAGGG